ACACACACACACACTAAAAATAAACCTTAAAGTCAAAAAAAAAAAAATGTCCAAGAACCCATTCAGGAGCCCAAGCCTGAAGACTCAGGAGTCTGAGGTTAGCCTGCGCTAAATTGCAAGGCTTTGTTGAAGAGAAGAACTGTACAAATAGAATTTTTGTACACAGGATCTCACTATGTAGCTTAGGATAGCATCAAACTCCTGATCTACCTGCCTCAGCCTTCTGAATTGCGATTACAGACATACTCTATCACCCCAGCTCATAAATGTTTGTAGATTTAAATTCCAACACGTCCACCGTTTCAAGTTTCTTCTCTTTCCAGGACCAGCTGTAGGCATTTTGGGCAGATCGGCTGGGACAGGCACTCGGGAGTCAGAGAATACGGAGTGTTAAACAGCTCGGATGGAAAGGTATTCTGGAGCTCAGGAGACAAGGAATACCACAGGTCACAGTAAGCGCAGCAGTTCACAGCCCTGTTTCAGGGGAGGCTTCCCCAGCGGATCAGCTCTGCTCCAGCAGAAAAGGGCTTCTTGGGCGAAATAGTAACATTTCACCTCTGCTCCCGGGAGGGCAGAGAGTGGAAACTCAGCTCTGCCAGGGGGAGGGTTGCCCGGCAAAACTGTTACAGCCCTGCTCGCTCTGCTCTGCTCTGCCCAGGGTGGTCTCTGCTCTGCCGCAAAAGGAGATCTTTACCCAGAGCCCATCTAAGGGTTTATTGGGAGGGAAGAATCCAGGAAGAGTGGCTGCCCTCTACCAGGGTGTCAGAGGATAGCAGGGCAGCCAAAATAGCCACAAGCCGAACAAAGAACTTATATAAGGACTCTCAGGGGGCAGAGTTTTTCCAGGGGGTGGGGATTGGTCAGATTTCAATCCCTGAACTCAGATTGGCTAGATCTTCTGCTCAGAGATTGGTTAGTTTTCTGCACAGGCTTGGGGTCAGATTCGCTCTGGTTTGGGGCTAAAGTGTGTTTCTTTCACTGGTCCTTTTTAGCCTTTTGGCTCTAGCTTTGGGACCAGGGTGTATTTCTTTCACTGGCTCTGATTCCAAGGACAAAGTGTGTTTCTTTGGCACTGGTTTCAGGGTCAGGGTGCATTTCTTGGGTTTGGTTGCAGGGCCAAAGTGTGTTTCTTTGGTTCTGCTCAGGGTGTTTCTTTGGCTGGCCCTTTCCCTACACCAGCCCTTTACGTCCACCTCTTGTCCTTGTTCCCTCCTTCCTCAAAAGAAACAGAAGCCATCTACTGGGAAAACTCAACTTTCACCTATAAATTCATTTTTAGACATCCAGACTTAAGATTCATAGTAATAAAGGTCCCTGTTCCTAATTCCAGAGATTTTTCTCTAAATTTATCTGTCATTCCCAGGTTCAACATCCATCAGTTTGTTATTCTTAAATGTTTTTAAATTTTACTTTTTATTTTATTTATTTATTTATTTATTTATTTTGGTTTTTCGAGACAGGGTTTCTCTGTGGCTTTGGAGGCTGACCTGGAACTAGATGTTGTAGACCAGGCTGGTCTCGAACTCACAGAGATCTACAAATTTTACTTTTTATAATTTTGTTTTATTTTACCTGCATTGGTGTTTTGCCTGTGCGTCTGTGTGTGAGGATACCTAGACAGTTTTGAGCTGCCATGTGGGTGGTGGGAATTGAACCGGGGTCCTTTGGAAGAGCAGCTCGTGCTCTTAATCTCTGAGCCATCCCTCCAGCCCCTAAATTTTGTTTTTATTATGTATGTGTTGCGTTTGTGTGTGAATGCAGTGAGTGCGCGCGCCAAAAGAGGCTAGAAGAGAGTTGGGAGTCGCCAGACACGGATGCTGGGAACCGAACTTGGGGTCCCTGAAAGAGCAGCTCCTCGTCTTTGACTATGAATAGGCAGTGACCCAGGCAGGTCACAGGCACCATCTGACCTCACCGTTCCGGCGGGAGGATTCCCTCTAGTCTCCACCCTAAGCCTCGCCGGCACAGCGCCACCTAGAGGCAGGACTGGGTAAGGAGCGAAGAGTCAGAGCTAAGTAGCCGCTGGGTCATGCGCAGAGCGCTCCACCGGTCCAGCGCCTCCTACGCAGTGATCCTCCCGCCCACAACCGAGGACACCGTGCAGGGGGCGGGACACCAGAGCGGCCCGAGTCTCCATTGGTCAGAGCGAGGCAGAAAGAGGCGGGGCAGCCACGCGCCTCGACTTTCTATTGGCCAGAGGACAGCAGAAAGGGGCGGTGCTGGGCGGCGCGCGCTTGGAGGCGTGCGGCC